ATGAATAATTCCTAGTTAGTGTTTCTCATCATCATCCTGTGATCTTGTGTTGAAACCACCGTTCAAATCCTCACATTTCCTGCTTTATCTGCAGCAGCGGGCAAAAAGGGTCAGAAAATAAATCAGACCAAAAGTAATAAACACCGTCAGGTGATGGGCCTGGGGTTAAAACCAACAAAGACCAGCAGGGAGCAGAGATGAGATATAGTTGTATAGTTTTCTCTCCTCTCCGTCTTTTTGTTCTTTTTTAACTTGTGTATAAGGAAATCGGTGATACGGTGAGAGAGGAGCCGACTGATCTGTTTGTTCAAACTCCAGGAGCGCGTGGGAAACTTCCTGGCTGATTTCTACTCTGTGAACGGCCTGGTGCTGGAGTCCAGGAAGAGGCGAGAGCATCTGAGCGAGGAGGACATCTTGAGGAATAAAGCCATCATGGAGAGTCTGAGCAAAGGAGGGAACCTCAKCGACCAGAACTTTGAGGTGATCACCAACTTTGTGGAGTTCTGTCACAATGACCCGTTTATTAGTAGTGTTGTCATCATGATTCTATAGCAAGTGACGTTTCTGCCATTTACTCACTAAAACCTAACTTCAGTCAGGATGTTATCAGTTTTTCTCAAACTGAGTACAAGTACTTMATCTGGGGTCGATACAGAGTACTTACTGAGTTAGAAACTAAACATTACACTTTAAAAACACAAATACACAGAAGTAGATTTCCTAATGTACTACTACAACAAATGTCAATATTTTCTTGTAYATAACTGAAATATGTCACGGAGGATAAATTATTRTTTCTCTTTCTGTCCTCCTGCTGTACGTCACAGAAGCACTAAGTACAGTGTTGGATAAAGTACCTCAAARTGATACTTGARTAAAAGTACAAGTATCTTATCATAAAGTTACTTTGGTAAAAGTTAAAATCTCCTCTAAGAATATTACTTGAGTCTTAAAGGAGCTGATTTTTTTGTACTGAAGTATCAAAAGTAAGTTTCTGACATAAAATGTACTTAAGTACACTACTCAAAAAAATAAAGGGACCACTTAAACAACGCACGCTAACTCCCGATCTTAATCAATGAAATATTCKCATTGAGTACTTTGTTCTGTACAGAGTTGAATGTGCTTCACAAAAGTTTGATTTACTTGGACTTAGCGTGCGTTGTTTAAGTGTTCCCTTTATTTTTTTGAGCAGTGTATTAAAAGTAAAAGTATTGAGTAAAAATCAGTGGTTAGATTTTCCAAAATGACATTTATTGAGAGATGACCTCCCCAAAAAAACTTTTTTTATAAAAGGCGTGCAGCTGTGATAGTTTGTGTACAAACTAATACAGTATCAGAATAATATATATTTGTATTTCTCATCCAACCACAATTAAATTCACTCTGTCCAGGAGGCACAATTTATCAGGATAATGTTTCGTTTTAACAATGAAATAGAAGTAACGACTTTTTACTTCTTATCTTAAAAAAATGCAAGAAGTTGAAGTAAAAGGTAGGCTGAAAAATAATTACTCAAGTGAAGTACAGCTAACCAAAATTTCGATTTAAGTACAGTAATAAAGTATTTGTACTTAGTTACTTTACAACTCTGACTAMGCATAAAAACAGCAGGTGTTTGTTTCACACTGGAAGAGATGAAAAGAAGATGTGAATGTCAGTTTCATATGGGTTCTTTATCCATCCCCTCACCAAACTAAACCACAAATACAAAAACACTAAAATCTTATTTAAATAATAAGTAAGGTTTACTTCAGCCTCGGGCCTCTAACTTTAGTTAATTAGTTGAGTTGGATTGGACTCAAACAGTGTTTATGGCCTCAATCTAAACTCTAGTCAGAGGGGCTGTAGGCCTATAAGGCAGCAGAGACACCTTGTTTCAAATAACATAAATGTGCTTTAAAGTCATTGTGTAATGTCTAAGTTCTAACTCAGTAAGTACTTTGTATGGACGAGTACCCCAGCTGAAGTAGCTCTTCTMAGTTTGAGAAAATCTGGTATCGGGACACCCCTAACAAAAAGGCTTAGTGAAACCTTATTTACCTTAAGAGATATCTTATTATCTGTCTTTTTAGTGATCATTTGGTATGTTTTTGGTTTAAAGGCCTGGTTGATTTTCTTAGAGCTCGAGATCAGAAAACCCTCCAAAACATTTTAGTAAAAACGAGTGTAACTTCAGGCCCTTCCTGTCCAGTCCTGAAACTATGGGCCACGTCTCTCACACAGCAGTGAGGTTCTGTAAGGTTTATTATGTCTGCGTTTGAAGATAAATCCTGTAGAATCAGGATGGATTTCCTGCCAAACTTCTGAAATTGAAAATCCCACCTCCCTCCCTACTGCCACCTGCTGGTGACGGCGTCAGAGCTGCAGCATAGTGACACACCCCTCCATCCCCTCTCTCTACAGTATGTTCCAGAGTTTGCTTAGCAAGCTCTTGTCTAAACACAGAGCATAAAGCCGGCGACACAGTAAAGACAAAGCTTCTCCGCGCACACTGGACGCCTTTTTTAGCTGCTGTTATGCTCCTTTCTCTTGTTCTGGGCCGGGCCTTTTGTTTCATCACGCTGCCCTTTTTGTTTGCTTCTAGCGCAGGCAATTCCTGCCTAGTCATGTTGAAAGTGAAAAGGCTGCCTCCGTTTCACCGGAGGAGAAGTTCTGTGCTCCTGCCTCGGTGCAAACTACTTCCTGTGATGCAGGCGTGTTTACAGCAGGTCAGTCTGTGGGCACAGGCAGGCACGCAGGGCCTTTTCATGCTATTGATGGCTTGGACGATTGTTATCCCCCCCCGTCTACTCTGCCGCCATGGATTGAGTGAGGCGGGGAGTGGCATATTTGCTTTTGTGTGCTCTGTTCTCATCACAACAACACGCCGATGCCAGTACGCAGCGTGCGGGGACAAACACACATCTGTGACGACSGATCGTTCTGTCCTGGACACTCGCTTACAAAAACACATCAGACAAACTCTGAACTCCAACTCTTGTAGGGAAGAGTTAATTTTGGGAGAATGTCAGTTTTATCTAGTTCAGGGTCGGGCGGAACAAGTTGTCCCGTCCTAAAATAAACTGACACTGAAGAAGTGATTGAAGAAGGCGAAGCGACAAGTCTGAGATGATTCAGTGTGAGGAGGAGTTTTTTTTTTCTTGTTTCAGCTGCTCTGGATGGTAGAGTTTCAGTGAARATTACCTGCTGATAAAACAGTTTATTTAGTGTTACTGATAAGAGTTGATCTTTCTGAAAATTTATTTAAAGCTGAGCAATAAAGACGCCCACAAACACATTTTCTTGGTGCCTATAGATTATTTTTAATCATACTTTCCCGAAGCTGCAAAGGACTAAAGATGAAAACTCTCATGTTGAGTCTGTTTGAGAAATAGTGTCTGATTTCAAGAATTTGTGTGGACATACGTTTCGTTCCTGTACTGTGTTTGAGGGACTTCTCAGAAATTCAGGTTGATGAGGCCACAGAGACRGTTACTGTAAGTTAGTGTGTGACGCCCTCTAGTGCACAAAGGTAGCTGTGCAGGTTTTGTTTTTTGTTAACAAATGTTTTGATTTTTCTCACCTTATTCAGCTAAAATTAATTTGAGGAAAACAAAAACAGCTTAAGTGCAAAAACATACATACACTTAGGTTATTATGTTTGTTTTTGACCAGTTTTTTAAAAATAGTCACTGTTTTTATGAGATTAAATTACTTTCATTTTTATTAGCAGTTTTGTCATTTTGTTTGGTCTCACATCAGAGACGCTCAACGTTGCTTTTCTAACTATTTTTATTTAATTTGTTTCTCAGTCAACAAGAAGGCAATCTCTGACTCCGCCCTCCCCAAACACTATATCATGGGAAGAATATATCACCTCTGACAACGGAAGGTAGGTGTTCGTTTTAAAGGAATCTCAGATACTGTYACGTGTTGGCCTTAATGCTATTTCTCTTCTATTATTAGTTTACTATTAGTTTTCTTACTAAACGTTGTTTATGACACGTGGAAACATCTAATTACTTAAACTATATATATTTAGAATATTTTTTAATTAAGCAAATTGCCATTTTGTTATTGATGCAGACCGTTCTGGGAATGATGAGAATGATGGGTTAATTCAATTTATAATAATAATAATAATAATAATAATAATAATAATAATAATAATAATAATAAATTTTATTTATAACGCACTTTACATTTACAAAAAAAATCTCTAAGTGCTACAAACGATAAAATAGCAACAAAACAAGGACTGTAAGATACAAATTTCATTTCAGTTTATACCTCGCCAAGTCACAACAAACCTCTCAGGGCACTGTACACAAACCATCTAAAGAAGCCAGCAGATGGCATTAAGACCTCACAAGCTGCGTTTCCATTGCAAATGTGCGCAAAACTTTGTTGATATTCTGGTCATGTCGAAAAACACAGTTTCGCAACTGCGGTGTTTCCATTAAGTAAGAAATGCTATTAAAGTCACGCATGAATACGTTGTTCTTGAAATAAGTCATTACAAACATGGCGGCAATGGATGTAAACACATAGCATATTGCTACCGCGACACTAGCGCTCATCATCAGAGACATCGGCGTCTTTTATTGAGGTTTTCCAGCGACAAGCCCCTACTTGGGAGCGGCTACGTAGGCTGTGTTTTTGGGAAATTGTAGTCGGTGAGTTTACTACTAATTTTATGATATTACTACTATTTCTACTTCCTGTTATCTTCTTCATCGTCTTTTTCGCCAGTAGAAACAGCCAGTTGTTGATCACGACTCCCGTGATGCAAAAAAAGTGTTTCCATTGCAGTTTTGCGAAAAACACCAATTTTGATACGGCCGGAAAACCACCTCATCCTAGCGCAAAAATATTTTGTCGAAAAATGTAATTTTTTTCAAAATTGATGTGTTTCCATTGAGCAAATTTGTTTTCGAAATTCTAATTTGCGCACTTTCATGGTCAATGGAAATGCAGCTACAGTCTCCCATCCTGAGCAGCAGATTGGTGACAGTGGGAAGGAGAAACTCATTTTTAACAGGAAGAAACCTCCAGCAGAACCAGGTTACAGTTTAGAATGAAACACAAAGAATTCAGGCTAAAAAGCTATAATGTGTGACAATAAAGTTAGATGTTGTATTAGTTTTGCACAATATATGGGCTGAAACAAATGTGATGTTTAATAAATTAGCTCCAGAGCTAACGCCATTAATTTATACTTAGCACAAAAAGTAAGGAAATGTGTGTTTGGTAGATTTTTTCTTTCGCTTTTTAGCAATAAATCTTATGCCTTTGGAAAACCTGTTAATTTCCCTTTTTAAATGGTGCCACATTTGTAAGGAACATGCATTTGTGGAACGAGCAGTAGACCTGAATATGTGGGTTACGCACATGAAAAATGTGCTAGATCTTCTAAGCCAAACAGTTAATTTTGTTGTTGCTACTGACACGTGTTTTGAGCTTCTGGTACCCCAAGGTGCTGCCAACCAGGTACCAGCTGTAAGAAATCTAATAAACACAGATTTCCTTACTTTTTGTGTGAAGTATGTATTAGCTTGGGAGCTAACATCATGTATATAATTAGCTTGGGAGCTAACATCATATATATAATTAGCTTGGGAGCTAACATCATATATATAATTAGCTTGGGAGCTAACATCACATATATAATTAGCTTGGGAGCTAACATCATATATATAATTAGCTTGGGAGCTAACATCACATATATAATTAGCTTGGGAGCTAACATCATAAATATAATTAGCTTGGGAGCTAACTTCATATATATAATTAGCTTGGGAGCTAACTTCATATATATAATTAGCTTGGGAGCTAATGCCAAAAAATATAGTAGCTGGGGAACCAATGTAAAAAAAATATTAACTTGGGAGCTAACACCATGTATGTTTTAGCTCAGAAGAGGATGATGCCATATACGTATTTGCATATAATATAATGTAATGTAATATAATATATGTATAGATACAGTAGCTTGGGAGCTAAAGGCTAAATATATTATCTTGGGAGCTAACACCATCTTTATAGTAGCTTGGGAGCTGACTCYATATATAACATGGTCCTGTTTCATTTAAAAGGGCTGATTGTCAGATATTATCTGACAATCTGACTAAATTATCCTTAAAAAAGAATAGAGCTCGSACCAGAGCACCAGTAAGCATCATTTGCTGAAAATGCTTTGCAGCGTAAATAACATGGTGACATCGGATTGACTATTTTATTTTAATTTATAAAAACTACAGAGTCTAATTTTACATGTAGTCAAAGTTCTCTTTAAGAAGATGTGTATTTAGTTACCTAGTTCTCTTAAATGGAAYATGTTGCTGTTATTTTCTCAGAGCACCTCATCTAGGAAGAGAGCTGGTCTGCAAGGAGAGCAAGAAGAACTTCAAAGCCACGATAGCCATGAGTCAAGACTTCCCTCTGGGCATCGAATCGTGAGTTAATGCTGACCTCAAACACAAACCTACTGCCCCGACCTGGTGCTGGATATAAAAGACTTTTATTAAAATGAGAATATGTGAACATGCTGGGTTTCTCTTACAGGTTATTGAACGTTCTGGAGGTGATCGCACCCTTCAAGCACTTTAATAAACTCAGGGAGTTTGTTCAGATGAAGCTCCCCCCTGGTTTCCCCGTCAAGCTGGGTAAAACAGTCAAAGAAGGAGAACATTTTCAAGTCATATTGTTAAAATCTGTAAAGAATTTTTTTAATTTGTAATTTTTTTCTACAGACATCCCCGTCTTTCCTACCATCACAGCCACGGTGACATTTCAGGAGTTTCGCTACGACGAGTTTGACGGATCCATTTTTACCATTCCCAACGACTATAAAGAAGACCCGAGCCGGTTCCCCGACCTTTAACCTCCGGACTTTAAACAGGCCACTTCGTTCCTACAAAACACACCTTTTAAAAGACTCTCATCAGTCAAAGGGCATTGAACTGAAAAAAAAAAAGGCAACAGAGCAAGTGAGTTTGATGTATTATGGGATATGAGTAGCAAACGAACACCAGTTCAGTTGTATTTAAATGTGTAAGTAATGATTTTAAAGGGGCTTTCTTAAAACTAAAATRTAGTTGAGCACTGAAAATGTGTGAGAAGCTTGAGAGGAATTCTGCTCTAATTAGGTTCTACAACGAAAGCACGCTGGACAAAACACAAAAAGTACTRATGACGTTACTTTTATACAAAAACTAAGGTGCAGGCTTAGAAAGCAGGAAGGTAAAAATCATCCAGTCATGTTCATATGAGGCAAAAAAAAACCTAAATAATTAGGCTTGATTTGAACAGAWTTCCTCTTCTGCTCATTACAAATGTCTGTGATTATATATAAGAATGATTTTCATGGGACAAATATCACTGAATATTTGAGTACTTTTTGGATTCACTACAGCTGAGTTTAACATGTTTTGTGTATAATGTTAAACCTTTAACCCTGCRTTTGGGAATATCAAATTGGCTGTGAGTTTTAAGTTGTTAAACTTTTTTCTTTTGTCACCGTTTTTTAAAAACAATCCTGTTATAAGTAGTGGAGAACAAACTGATGTTAACAAAAACGAGTACGACTCAGAAAACAGGCTTTTGCTTTGCACCATTTACACTTCTGTTTTAGTTAGGTATTTTTGTTTTATTTACTTTTATCCAGTGGTGGGCACAGCTAACCAAAGTCTTAGCTTCACTAGCTGCCAACCTGTTACGCTAAAAATGAGCTTTGCTAGCCACCAGTTCGCTACATTAGCTTCGCAAGCTAAACTGTTAAACGGGTAAAATAAATTATTGGAAGCTAATGCTAACTCAAAGTTTACCATTTAAAACAGACATGTAGTATCTACAGAAATTGTTATAAAAATCCTTATGTCCACCAAACAGTTAAAGCTACACACAGTGTAATCAAAATGCTAAAGATGCTACGCACATAAACGGCGCATGACGCAGGCGTGCAGCGCCTCGTGAGAGGGGGTAGTTGTTTTTTTTTTGTTTATTTGTTTGTTTGTTTGTTTGTTTTTTCTAAGTTACCAGAACTAAATTTTGTGTAATCTACTCGGTCTTTTTAAGTTAGCAACGATGCTAATCTGCCGAATGAACTGTTAGCTTYGCTATTAGCTGTTAGCAGATTAGCMTAACTGTGCCCACCACTGATTTTATCCTTTTAAACTGACAGGCTTTTTGTTCTCTACAAGAGGGAGAGTCGTGTAATTTCTTTTTTTWAATGTARCAGTTTGTGAGCTGAGTCAGAAGATTTCTTGTTTAGTTTTTTTAAGTGGCGGTACGTTTTGTACATACTTTGTTTATTTTATTTTTTTCCTGTKATGATCTCCCTCACGTATGTTTAAACAATCCTGAAAAGCACAAAGCACCTAGAAAGATTTTACCTTTTAAAAACAGGAAATATTTAACCGGTGCTGGATGTTGCAGGGTATTTTTTTTTTTGAAAGGAGATTGTTTTACCCATGTTTAGTAAAACCAAAATTCAGTATCATTGTTCCTGACATTCCATACTTTAGTTCTGTGCAACTAGTGGAAGCGACTTCACTGACTTTAATGCTTTACCTGGTATTTGACGCTCYTTCCATCGAAGCTGCTCTGATTTTCTGTAGGGATTCGTTCGACCATCTACATGTCAGTTGTACAGCAAAAAAAAAAAAAAAAGTTGTGTTTGTCTGCAACACTATTTTCATATAAAATGTACTAAAATAAAAATATCTAACAGTCTCTTTTTACCACATCCAGTTATTGGGTTCATCTTCACAGCTGCTTCCTGTTTCCACTCACCTCACTGAGATGTTTCTGCAGCTCCACCTGTGGTGAGTTCAGCTGAYTGGATGTGATTTAGAAAGGCTCACATCTGTCTAAATAAGGTCCCACAGGTGTCTGAGGCAGGATTGTCTCGAGGCGCAAACCTGGGTGAGGGTACAAAAACATTTCTGCTGCTTTGAAGGTCCTAATAAACACYGTGACCTCCATTCTTAAAAGGGCAATATTATGTGTTTCTAAGGCATATATTTAAATACTATACCATAACAAAATAACTATGTCACCTTCATTTGTTATTAAAATGATGTTTATATGTTTAAATAGAAAATAAACTTGACTTCTCATCATATCTGTTTCTAAACGCCTTGAAATTTGGCCTCTGTCTCTTGAAGAACCTCCTTCCGCTTCTGTCCTGACCATTTCAGCACGGGGCTGGGTGTTTAGAGACACAGCTAAGAGGAGGAGCTGGTCCCTAAAGGTGGTTCTAGTCCCAGCCGGTGGTTTTTGCTCTCCTGCCTGGCTGCCTCAGGACACCACAGGATTTCTCAAACATGCATGAATGAGTCAAAGCAAGACTCTGGGCAAGTTTTTGATGAGAGGATTAAATTATAACATGATATAAAACTCAAAGTTGATTTTATGTGATATAGCCCCTTTTAAAAAGGTGGCTGTTAAAACTGAGCAATAAKAAACCTCCAGCAGAACTGGGCTCAGGACAGGCAGTCATCTCCCTCAGCCAGCTGGGTTTGAGGGATAGAAAAGAGACACAGACAAACAGAAGAACTTCTCCTCTGGAAGAGAGACAAAGAAAAATGTAGCAATAACAATAAACATGAAGAGAAAAGTGACTAAAGACAACATAGTGAGGGGAAATGTGCTCAGTTTGTGCTCCAGCAGTCTAAGTCTAAAGCAGCAGAAATGAATAATAATTCAGGAAACCTACGTCTAACTATATGATTTATCAAAAAGGAAAGTCTTCTGTCATCTTAAAAGTAGACAGAGTGTCAGCCTCACGGACAGAAACTGGAAGTTGGTTCCACAAGAGAGRAGCTTGATAACTGAAAGCTCTGCCTCCCATTCTACTTTTAGAAACTCCAGGAACCACAAGTAAACCTGTAGTCTGAGAGCGAAGTGCTCTGTTAGGAAAGTATGGAACAATAAGTTGTATGATGGAGCTTGATTGTTGAGAGCTTATTTAGAGTTAAGAACTTAAAGGTTTGGCTGTTTTGTAGCACTTCTCTGGTCTGATGAGACAAAGTGAAGCACGGCTATGGCAGCATCATGCTGTGGGGATGTTTTYCAGCTGCAGGAAGTGGGAGACTAGCCAGGATAGATGTTTAGAGACATTCTGGATTACCCCCCCCCCCAACCCCCAGCTCACTCTTGACCTCCGTTCTCATCACATTCATGTTTTAGTCCAGTGGTTTTCAAACCTTTTRGCTTCTGTTGTAGAAACTTGTGATATTACTGGTTTAATACTGTTACCAACACAGTAAACAAACCTTATAATTATGATGCCACTTTATGAATTTATTGTTGTGTTTTTGCAAACATGATGAACATATTCCATTAACAATTTCTTTGCATTTAAATTGATGTAAGTCATCCAGGGACCCTCACTTTATTTTTTATGACCCACAAAAGGAGTCCAAGACCCCAACTTTGCTAACCCATGAAATATTTAACTAAAAATAAAATGCCTAATATATTTATTTCACCAATGATGACACAAGGTAAGAGTTTAACCCATTTTTATTTGTTTCCTTTGGAAAAACGTATTTAAAGACTCATGACAGTTTTATCTACAATCCCAACTGAAGAGTTGTAAATGTRTGAGCCGACATGTGACAGTGCATTTAGAGGTAAACACCTCCAAAATAAAACATGGTGAAAGAACAGCTTTTAGATACATTTTACTGTCAGGACTGAGATGTGTGACGAGAGAAAACAAAATATAACCACGACACAGATGTTTAAAACCATATTTCATGTATTTTAGTATTTGTGTCAATAAAAAAAGCTTCACTCCTCTGTTTCTACAGCGAGACACAAACATTGTTAACTTTGTGGGATCAGGCACAGACATCATGTAGAATACATTAAAATATAAAAACAGTGAAAAAACACACATGACTGGTCTCAGGAAGCTCAGTCGCTCATCTCCATGTCCTCCTGATGATGATCGTCTCCGTTCAGTTTGGACTTCTTGGAGCTCCGGGCCTCGGTCCTCTCCGTCTCCTCCTGGTTTGTGGGAGACGTGACGGAATCGGAGTCGCTCTTCCTCTCGTCGTCTTCTTCCTCTCCCTTTTCGCTGTCGTAACCTTGCTCCTCTTCATCGTAGTCTCGGGTCACCTGTTGGGAATTTATTGTTACTTCAACATTTTCCTTTGAAGCAGGCGGTTTTTGTGTTTTTTTTTTTTTTTTGACGAGATGTTTTTACACGAAGCTCCGCCCACACACCCACCTTTACGTCTCCTTTCTCGCTGTCAGACAAGTGGTCTCGATCTCGCTCCTTGTCTTTGTTCTTCTTCTTGCTGGTTGAGTGTTCTTGTTCGTCTCTGCTCCGGTCCCGATCCCGGTCCTCCCTCCTGTCCCTGTTCCGGTCCTTCTCACGGTCCTTGTCCTTCTTTTTTTCTTTCTTGTGGCTGTTTTAATTAAATGTATTAATGTTTAGTTGGGGTTGTTTGCAGTTGATGTAACAAAAAAAGGGAACATAGGATCTCACCGTCTCGGAGATGGAGACCTGGAGGGCTTTCTCCTGGGGGACCTGGAAGCACTGCGACTACGCCTGTGCCTCCTGAAACATACGTGAGCTTGTTTGGCTGCTGTGATAAAAGCATCATGAAGGTAGTTAGATATCGTGTTAACACTCACCGGTTAACGCTTCGAGACCTCCTGGCACTGCTGTAGCTCTTAGGGGGCGTCTTAGACCTTTTCTTTGACTTTTCCTCCTTCCTCCGGTCTCTGTTCAGGCAAAATAAACTAAAGTATTTAGTCACAGGAAACATAAGTGTGAAACTTTCGCCGTCAGAACAAGAATGAAGCGACTAACCTGGATCTACTTCGACGACCTCGGTCCTGAGAGTGAGTCCTCCTCCTGCGGGGACTCTTGGACCTCCTTTTACTTCTCGAGGTTCTTGAATGAGACCGACGTCGAGACCTGCTCCTCGAACGTCTGCACATAAAGAGCCGACCCTTAAAGAACATCGTTTGTTTTGGCAAAAGGGAATCTGGTTCCTGGTTTTGTTGGACCTTTTACCTGTGTCTCGATGGAGACCTGGACCGTTTGCGCCGCGACCGAGAACGGGAGCGTTTATGTTTCCCGTCTTTCTTGCCTGCAAAATGTTAAAAAAACAAATGTTCATAACTGACAGAAAGCAAACGTGTTTCCCCAAATACAAGAACAAGTATTTTACAACTCACTGAACTGAAATACGCAGCTGAATTTAATACTTCATTAACAGGAAACTGACATTAACTGTAAACAATCATTTCAGCAAAGTATTCTACATTCAAAGTTAGTTTTAAAACACATTTGTGACCCATCTAAAATTTGGTCAAAATGACCTGAGCACATTTTCCAGATTCCTGACTTTAAAGCTACATCTTGATCCCGATAGGAGGGTTTCCTGAGATACGCCTTGATTTATCTTCCTAATCAGCATAACCCATTTATATTTGGTCTGAATCCTATTTTTTAAGTTATTCTAATGAGGAATTATTGATGCCATTCTATAGAGGAAACTTCAAACAATATCTGGATATAAAGATTTACCAGATGAACGGGAAAAAGCTTTGCTAGCTCGCAGAGAAAATGATAAATTATGTTCGGCTTTTCTGGTCAAAAAAAGTGCTTAAAATTCTTTAAGATTATAGTTCAGACATTTAAACAACCTGTAGATAAGTTATTTATTCATTAAATTATGACAAAATGCAATAGTTACATATGTTTGAACCAATAGCTGCTATTTCTCCACACACCACTTTGAGACCTAATCCTCGTTTTGATGCGATGAGTTACATATACCTTAGAAAATTATCTTTACAAAGGTTAACTGTCTTCACAGTGAACTCACTTCCAGGTTCAATCGCATCTAAAATCAGAGACTGAGCTTCTCTGACTTTCTTCATGGTCTCTTCGATCTCCTTGTTGGAAGAATCTGGTTTCAGTCCAGGAGTTAAGTTCAGTCCAGCAGCTAATGGACTCAGCCTGCAACAAGTCAGGATTAACATTCAGTTAAATAAAACTCTGACTGGAAAGCAAACCAGAGGAAGATGAGCGGTAGTTTCTTACTTTGGATCCATGGACTGCATGAGCTTCAGAAAGTCTGCAGAAATAGCCTGAGAAAGAACAGCCGTCTTACTTTACTTCATTATAAAACAGCTGAAACTACGGTTGTAGTTTATTCTCACCTGTTGGCTCAGGCTGGACCCGGCGAGTCCCATGGCAGCCATTTGTTCTAGGTTGGGCGCTCCGAGACCTCCAAACGGTGTTGCTGTCAGCTGAAATACCACAGAACCAATTTTACACTTCATATATATATTTCAAAACACAAATAAAGAGTTACTTGTAACACAAATTTAGTGTGAAAACCAGTGGTGGGCGCAGCTCTGCTAATCTGCTAACAGTGGAGCTAACTTTTCCTTTAGCAGATTAGCATTTTTCCTAACTTTGGACACCATTAGCTTCTACTAAATTGAGTTTACTAATTATAAGGATGCTAATGAAAACCAAGAACTCTCCCCTCACACATGCACCGTGTGCATGCGTAGCATCGTTAGCATTTTCAAATTCACCTGCTTGTTGTTTTCAATACATTTGGTGGATGTAGAAATGTTTTTATGAGCTTTTAACCAAGTTTCTGTGGATACCACACATCTATGTTTAAATGACAGACCTCGAGTTAGCAGTTATCAGTTAGCATTAGCTTCCGTAGCGGATTGGCGGCTAGCTGTGCCTACCACTGGTGAAAACTAACCGATGCCAGAGGATTTGGTGTTGGAAGAAGACCTCCACCGGGCATCATTCCTGCCAAAGCATTAGCTGGAGCCAGGAGCGACATGGCTTTAGATTCATCAGGAATAACTCCTGGAGGGAAAACACAAACATTAGCGCACGCTCAAGGGAAAACGATGACAACATTAAGACAAGACTTGCAGACAAGCCACCTCAGTCTAACTACTCTGTAGTTAAAAATAAATGCATAAAAATCCACTTTTTTTTGTCTTGTCTGTAAATCTTGATTTGTTTTGTGAAAAGTACAATTTGTGGGGATTAGCAGATCAAAAGTTACAATACACACTGTGGTCAACACTGCCAAGATTTTATCACCTGTACTTGTTTTTTAAGTCATGAACCAAACGTTAGCAAGCACAGCCGGTTGTCCCGTGGGATGTGCTCTCAAATTTCATTATGAACAAGCGACTCGCGCCGGCTGCTTCGCTATAAAGCACACAAAAACATTGAGATACAGAAAACAAAGTTCATGATTTGGGTGTAGACACAATCATACATTTCAACATCACTTACCATTACCTCTACAAAAGCTTTTTGTCGATCCCACACAGAAAAAAAAAAGATGCTACACAAAACACTAAACAGAGTCAAAAACAATCTGAACTTAACTATTACCAGCAATGGTTGTGATAAAAATAATAAAATATATGTTCAAAGTTGAGATGATCATCCAAAGCTGTGCAATCTGAAAACAGGCTATTTTTTTTTAATCTGACATTTTTCACACTTCAAAACAAGAAGACACACACACACACCCATCAACACACACCCAACAGAAAAGACACTTGAGAAACAGGATAAGGCTGCAGAAGACAAAACTGTTGGTGGCATTTTCAGCAGGGCCTGGTAACTAGGGCTGGCTGAACCAGGAAAAAGAACTGTAAAACACAACAACAAAAGAAAACACCACCGTTAAACATGAGTCACTCAGCTCGTTCAGAGTCATGTCTCCATCTGCCTCAACACTCTGACTGTACGCTAATGGAGAGGCTGCTAATGCAGATGGTAAATAAAACACGTCTTTGGTACATTCAGCTTTTAAATGCCAAACAGTGTTTATTATGATCACAACTACATGACATGTTCTTACAAACCTCATCGACCCACATCTTTAAATTATAGCCTAGCTCCCTGCTTATTTACTGACTTGTTCCAAACGTGATGATTTCTACACTAAACTAAAAAAACAAAACACAACACAACTTTTAGATCCTGTATTTAGTGCCTTGTTGTAAAGAGATGACCAGAAAGAGTAAATTTATGCTGCAGAAGCAAATCCTTTGTTTCCTTAACAGATCTACATTAAGACAATAAATAAATAAAAAACCAGACATGAGAAGGCGGTCCCGTAAAGAATGTTAAAGGGATCCATGATTAGTTGTAACATTAGACTTTATTTAATAAACATACATTTTAACTGTAAAATAAAGACTGTAAAAATACTGTAGGATGTTCAGTTTTTATTTTTTTTAAACTAAAAGTTTGAAAATATATTACACCGACAGGGCCAATTTATTTACACGCAAAGCATTCTGGGTAAATGATGATGTGGATAGGTCCTCGGTGTGAGCGAGCTAAATCCACACTGAAGGTTAATCTTGGACAATATCTGATGATCGACTCTTAAATGAAACCAGAGAGCGTTGACAGAGGAGAAGGTAGAAATGACTCAGCCTGTAACTGAAAATATGGATGGAGGACAACAGTTTAGCTTGTTAGTTTGTTGCGCTAGCGCCGAGCTAATACATATAAGGCAATATAGCGTGAAGGCTAACAGGCTAAGCTGAGGTTCTTCTTCCATGAAGCAGCTCTGTTGTCCTCCATCCATATTTTCAGTTACAGGCTGAATCATTTCTACCTTCTCTCTGTCAACGCTCTCTGGTTTCATTTAAAAGAGTCGATCATCAGATTTTGTCCAAGATTAACCTTCAGGGTGGATATAGCTCGCTCACACCGAGGACCTATCCACGTCATCATTTACCCAGAATGCTTTGTGTGTAAATAAAATGGCTCCGTCCGTGTAATATATTTTTTAAAATTTACAAAACTAAACAGTCTACAGTATTTTAACACTTTATTTTACAGTTAAAATATATGTTTATCAAATAAAATCTAATGTTACAACTAATCAGGGATCCCTTTAAAGGTCTCTGTAGTCACTAAGGGAAAAACATGATTGGTCTGTTTGATTTTTGTGGGAGGAGTTTGTTAAAGATGTGATTGGTTGGATTGAATATTTTGGGTGGGATTTGAAGAAGCCATAACAATCTGGTTGGATGAACGCCGGACTGCTGCAAGTTGGGGTTGCTGCAGCGCATAGGAGAAGTCTCTTGGTGTGTGGGCGGAGTTTGTCCTGTGATTGGCAGAGTCCTTCTGTGTGGGCGGAGTTTGTCCTAACCATGATTGTTTAGATTGACTCGTCTTGTGGGGCAAGTTAAAATGTGATGTAATAGGCTGTGTCCAAAACAGCAGGACGGGTCCTCCGGAGGACCCAGACTCCCCGGTCTCGGCAGGCCGGGTCCTTGGTAGACCGGGAAGACCGGAAAAAAAGAGGCTGTGGATTTGGACGGTCTAGCCTCCCCTCCTTACCCCGGCGTACGTCTTGTCACCTAGCAACTGTGACGACGCTAAACAAGCAAACTTAAATCAAAACTAGAAAAATATCAATACACTAGCATTATTAATATCATAAAGCTATAAAATTAACTTAAAAGTATCATTTGAAGAACTAATTGACCTGCTGTAGGTTCATGTTTATTTCGCGTTTTTTATGACGAAAAAATAATATTTAAAAACATGTCCATACAAATGACAAAAGTATTAGAATTACAACCGCTAATTTTTTTTAATTTTTAAATCACCATATTTTTATTTAAAACGTATTCTTTTCTCTCGCTTCGTCCGCCATTACTAGCTTAAAAAAATCTCCGGTCGGGCCGCAATGCATTATGGGATATGCTGGGCCGGGAAGGATCCATCGGACCTGTCCTTCGATTCGGGGAAAAAGAAGGACGTATTTGTCGGACGCATCGGAGGAGTCTTCCGTTTTGGACGTCCTTCGTCGCGGCGCTGTGACGTATGCGGCCGACAAATTCGACCTTCGGAGGACCCGTCCTGCCGTTTTGGACACAGCCATAGTAAAATTACTGTGAACATGTAAACACAATTTATTGCCTTCAAACACCACCCAATTACGTCTTTAACAAGCTGCGCCCACGAAAGTCAAACAGACCAATTATGTCTTGGACAAACTCCTCCCACAAAAAAATAAAAAAATAAATAAAAACCTCCCACTTAGCGGCTGCAGAGACCCCCTTCTTGGCAGCTAGGAAGATTCAGCTTGGATGAAACACACAGAACGCACTTATTAAAAAAATGCTAATTTTGAATATTAATTTTAGTCATAACTCAAGACAGAAAGTTGCTAGATGTACAAAATTTTACAGCAGGTCTATCATGATCCTAACTTACACCTAGAAATCCACTAGTGTATGAAAACATCAGAGTTTGTGCTTCTTTACTTTAACTACGTATATACATTTGAAACTGAGCATAACACTTGTTAAATGCTCGTGAAGCAAAAATAAGACCATTTTGTTTGTTTTTGCATGCTCTTAATGTGAGCATTACAACTGATTCAACAAAAATTATTTTGGCCAAATATGTCTCTAATTATCCATCTGTTCGAGGCATTTATCATCGGTGAAAGTCTACTTTACGTAGGTAATTATTACAAATAAATAAATAACATTTACATCATTTAATTAAAAAATAATCCTTTGCAACCTCTTCCCCCACCCACAGTTTCAAGCTGTGCAGCTAATTAATTGTTTTAAAGAAACGTTGCCTTGAACAGAGAAAGAGAGAGAAAGAGAAAAACTGTTATTGTTTTACAGCAGAACAAGAGAAAGAGAAGGGTCTTGCGACTCTGGTGCCATTATTTTTTCTAATCTCCTGATGGCAGCAGACCACCTTCAGCCAGCAGCGAAGGGACTCTCTGCAAATGACTTGTCCACTATGAAAACCACAACACAAATAACAGAGAGAGAAGTTTACAGCTAAGATTGGAAGACACAGACACAAATGTACATTTTCCCTGTTAAATTCAAAGAGATGCCAAGCACAGAAAAGCTTAGCAAACAAAAACAAATGTATTTCTCAATGACTGACTCGCATAATGTTTGCAATTCTATCCAAATACATTTACAAATAAATGCTCAGGAAGAAAATATGCGACACCCACCTTCAGCAAAAGGAACCACGATCAAAGCTCTGTCCACGAAAACGGTGTTCGTCAGGTGCTGAGACACTCCCACCGACTCGGGTTCACGGAACTTTACAAAACAGACACGTGAAGTCACAGGCAAGGGAGAGTCACTGGAAGAAAATACAGATATGTTGTGCAAAGAATACAAACACAAAGGATCAATATATCCTCTCCAAGCTGTCACTGTGTGTCCTTTAGGCACAACTAATGTCATCCCGGATTCCTGCTCTCTGCGTTTGTCTCTCAGCACAGCAACACCAGCCGAAGACCTTTACAAAGCACCCTAAAAGTGAAACTGCACTTATGTGTTTATGCAACAACAACAAGTGATGAGAAAGGACCTTCCCAGTGTGGTTAAGTTGTGCCGCACTGAATCCATGACTATATTGTTGCAATTTTTTTATTTTATTGTTGTTTCAAGAGCTGACTGATAACATCTCCCACCTGTGGAGTAACAAGGCATTATTAAATATAGATTAAAAAAAGTAGAATACTTCAATGTCCAGAGGTGAATCCAGTGTTTACATAAACAAAGTTGCTCATTAGTCCAGAATTTTATATATATATATCCTGATTAATTAGCTTAATGCACAATTAGGATAAACAATTTTAACTTACATAATCACTATTCCCCACAGCKCTCACACACCTGATTTAAATTAACTAATTGCCTTACAAGGTGGCTATCAGTTACAAAACTGCTAATTACACATCTATTTAAACCAGGTGTGGAGAAGCAGGGACTCGTGCAACCTGCAGGCAGGACTTGCAAACTTATATATACACACAGTATAGCCTCAGACTACATGAGGAAAATTTAAAATAATCGACTACGTCTTATTTACATTCTTCGCCCTCAGATTATGATTATTAGCTTAGAAAATTTTGACTGTTTCAGAAGCTAACTTTGTTTAGCGTGTGGTCTCTTCAGTTTGAAGCACTTGGGTTGTGAGCATCTCTGCTTGTAGATTTATTTTAAAGGGAAGCATACGTGCTTTACGAACATGACGTTGAGAGGGAACGTCTAAAACACAGGTACAGTAAACATTAGCTTAGCATTAGCGTACAGGGAGGCCTGGTCTCGGTCCTAAAGGAGAGACGTGCGTGGGGCCAAGAAGGCTTTACCTAAGCGATAAGATTTGATACTCACTCAGGTGGAAACAGCTTCAGTTCCTCTATGGTTCCGAGGAATTCAAAGAGAGTCCTCATTTGTTCGGACGTTGTGCTCGGAGAGACATTTGTCACCTGAACGACGCGCGTGCTGGAGCTCATGTTCACAAACACTAAAATCAAGCTAGCAGCTAAAGTTTTAAATTCAAGCTATTTTAAGTTTACAGTGTACAAACTATTAGGCTAGTACAAACAGCATATCTATTTAAAAAAAGATGTTGATGAGCTGCCGAATGGCCGCAGCTTGTGTGACTTGTGAGGCTGCGCTGTTGCTTTCAGGGACCGTTTTTCACCCTCGGAGTTGAGAACGTCTTGTGGCAAACACAAATTTTCACCACAATTCTTTTAATAAAATAAAACAAAAAAGTGCAAACACAACACATTTTCGCACAGAGAACATTTACCTTGATATGTACACAAGCACGATATAACTAAAATGAGCATAAGAAGCAGTTTTTGTTTTATAAAATACAGAAATTAAATTTCATAACAGCGCTTAAAGTAGACACGGCTCTGTTGGTGTCAGCTAGGCGGTCAGCTAGCGTCCTCTGCTAGTGATGCGCGAGTTCATCTCAAAATGACAAAACTGCCGACGCATGAAACCGTGTTGGTGGTGGTAAAGGTACAAGTCAAACTGTTTCAGTTTTTTTTTTAGGTTTAACAAACATGGTGGTTGACCTGTAAGCTAATTTAGGCGCAACGTTATTCGCCAGCTACTTGCTAATTTAGCCACTAGGGTTGTCAACAAGTTGCCACCCACCGTGAGTAAATCTGCTATTTGTTTTGTGTCTGCATAGTTAATTGACGTGTTCTAAGTGCATCTTAAATAATCTCCAGTGAAAAATCTAACGAGGTGGCGAGATTACCATAACCCGTACTATATATTAATATTTTGTGCATCTTAGCAAAGTGTGAATCCTGGACCTCGAGGGCCACCGTCCTGCATGTTTTTAAAATCAACAGAAACTTGTTCATCAAATAATTCAAATCAAGTGTGCTGAAAAATATTTAAAATAGGTAACTTTAGTAAGAAAACATTTGGACATACATCTACAGTTAAACTAGTTTATTTGCTTGAAAATTGTCATTGTTTTATATTTTAGTCGAGTGTTTTTTTTTTTGTAACACAGACTTAAATTAATCAAAACAAAAATGTATTTAAAGTGGGGTAGCAAAACAAAAAAGTTGCACACCAGTTAAACCGTAAAAGTAATAATTTCTAAACTGTTTTCAAAATGAACATATAACACCACTTTGAATGTGCTTGGGATCATATATATTTTGGTCATTTTAGGAAAACCTTTCTAATTTTCTAAAGTGGCTGTRTGCTCACTGAACTAATGTTTAGTCGTATAACCTCAGTTTCTGAAGACTGCTTCACATCTGTGTCACATGGAGTCAAACAACTTCTGGCACCTGTGAACAGGTATTCAGCTCCAGGGTGATCAAAGACGCCTGTGCCGAGCTAATCTTTTGCCAAGAAACTGCAGTGTTACAAAAATAGACGTGCTGAAGAGGAATAAATTTACCAAAGAACACATCAACTGGCCTAAAGAGAAGTGGAGAAACTAACTAATTTTTTTTTCTCTTACAGGAAGAAGTCAGCAGTTTCTGATGAGTGACTTGCACAAAATGACGTCCGTTTTCCCAACTACGCCCGATCAAAGATGACACCAGCAGGCTGGTATGGGCGTTTTAAGAGGGTTAACCAGAATCATGGGTAGGATCAGCACCTTTAGGTCCTATCAGTTCGTCCTCCTCCTGGCTGCCACGCTCGCCGTCGTTGCTTTTTACTACTTCGGCTCGGAGAGACACAACTTCTCCAGCACCACGAAGAGGATCAAGCAAACGCAGGCCAGCAGCAACAGAAACGACGCTGACTTAACCGTGGACACCAGAATACAGCTGGCTGAGTCCGGAGACCGGGACCTGGGAGCGGGGAGTGAAGGTTTTGGGCTCAGAGTCGGGGATATGACGACAGTTGACCAGCGTTACCACGCTCTGATGATGTTCACGAAGGTGGACAGAAGCCGGAGCCTGCAGGATAAATTCAGAGTGGCCATGCTGTCCATGGTGAAGCACGGACGGTTCTTGGAAGGAGAAGTCTTGGTGCTTCATTTTGTGAGCGACCAGGCGAGTCAGGAGCTGGGTCAGAGGATGCTGCAGGAGTTCCTCCAAGATGCATCGTTTGAATACGAGGTAAGAGGGATAAACAATCTTCCAGACCTGTGATTTTGTAATAGGTTTTATGTAAAAGTCAAAAAGAGTTTGGTTTTGTTGATGCTGTAGCTAAAGTCGACACTTGGCGGCGTTGTTTGCCTGCTGAAATGAGACTTCGCCTGTTCTTCCAGCCAAAAAACGAGATTGTGTCTGTGTTTCATAAAATGTCCTGCCCAGATTCTCCTCCTTTGTCTTCTTCACACAGCAAACAATCAGAGACCCTGTTGGAAATTTCCCCCTCTCATCTAAACCTTTCATGGAGAGTCTTTCCTTTTGTTTTCCTGCCTTCAGGAATGTCTTGTTGTGTGAAACACAGTGAGGATGAGGATATTCCAGCCATTATCTGAGGATTACCCTGCTCCTGTTTTTAATGGTTAGAAGTTACTAATCTTGGCAGATTTAAGCCCACAGATTGGATCACATATAGCTAAAGTGCTGAATCATTGACTGGTTAAATATTTTAGTGAAACACTGAGAAATAAAAAAAGGTTWAGTATGTTATTGGGGACATGAAGTGAACCTTTCAGTGCTGTTTTAAAACTGAGTTAAGAAGCCGAACATGTATGTGGCTAAATTTTTATTAAAACTTTAGATTTTAACAGTATTTGTAGAATTCTATATAGAATAGTTTTCTGAAGAATAATAGTAATAGTAAGCAACATGTTGGTGTAGACCAGGGGTTTGCAACCTTTATAATTAAAAGAGCAATTTATTCCTCTTGGCTCACCAATAAAATGCGTCCAGAGCTGCAAACAGTACACAGACTTAAAAGCCTGAATTTTGCCTGAAACTCTCAGACTGAAGAAGTCTCTTGGAGAAGAGACTAAACGTTTCATTAGAGAAGAACCCGTCCAGAAGACCTATACAATTTTTTTCTTTTTGATTTTTTACCTGGATTACTGAGACGCATCAGAACATAGTACACATTATCAACTGGTGGCCCGTGGGCCACAGAGTTTGCTGTAGGGGGGGGATTTTTGAGGCAGTGGGGGTGCCATTATAAAACTAAAAATATGTAATGAGTTTTACCTTTTTTCACACTTTAGAATAAAAGAAAAGACCATATTCATGCAACCAAATAAACAAGATATATTTATACCAAATACAAAAACACTAAACTAACCTTGTATCTACCAGTAACTCCTTCTATTAGTAGTTTCAAACACATATTTTTGAAAAAAATTGACAAACTCCTAAAGGTAGCATTTTCTGTTGTGGGTATAAAATAAAACAAAAAGTTAACTTCAAAGACTGCATGTAGCTCCAGAGCTGCAGGTTGCAGACCCCCTGGTGTAGGCTGTAATCATTGACAATCACAAGTAGGTTCTTTAGGCTATCACACAAAATCAGACAAGAAAAGCGTCAGGAACACTTCAGTTGTAATTTTATTACGGAGTACAGATAGATATCGCAGTAATCAGTAGAACCAAGTGTGTTTTAGGTTTTGCATTCTGCCGAGGCTCAAAGTGACTGAAGATGATAAACAGTGACATGGACACAGAGCAGATGACTGATTAGAGAAAGAATCTTCTGGGTGTAAAGGCCTTGTCACACCAACATTTTAGAAAACTTGTGAAAATTTTGTCCAACACTGAGCTGAAGATAAAATAAAAAAATAAAAAAATCTACTAGAAGCCTATTTTGGACCTATACATGATGTAATGCTAACAATTAGACTGAATATATAGCAGATATGAGTAAAATAGTCATAACACAATGTTCATAAGTTGTCTAACATGTTCTAGTGTGACAGGGCCTTTAACAGCAACATTTCTGCAGGAGCCGTCCTGCTCCCTCCCACACATTTCCTTCTTTTCTGAAGTAGTTGGAAAATGGAAGTGTTTATATTTTGTTACGAACTATAATTCATAAAACATAAAATTAGAAAATCTGTGCATGAATTTGTAATAGGGATTTTATTTTGCACAGAGGAAAAAAAGTTAATCTAGAAATCTTAAGCCTCTCCTCGTTTTTTATATTTGTTCTTCAAACAGTTTAGACTTTCTTAGAATCTTTTAATGTGGTTTTAGGCAATAGTTCAGACTTTCTGAAGGTCACAAATTTATTCATTTATTTTATGTGGACAATGGCTGCTAAACTGAAAACAAAAGACTTGTTTAGGGAAAATACATTTGTAGTACATTTTCATACTTTTTACTATTAGTCTGTCATAAATACAGTTTGACAGGAAAACATTTTGGTTGTTTTGTTTCTGTAATGCAGCCATTTCATCACATGGCCACAAAATGAAATAACTAACATTTTGTTGTGTAAAACCCCCACATACCATACATCCTCCTGTCACAAATATAAATAACACCAGCACTGATGCAAAAGAGCACTTCATATCCTCGTTGGCTCATCTTGGGCTTCCTTTTTGTTATTCATCTTTTAAAAAGCACAAGGACCAGTTGGTGGTTATGAAATATTTTTAGCTCTCGTACCACCCAGCAGCAACAAATTCAGGGAACTATTTCACATTTGGGACAAACAGCCTGCAGAGTCGCACTGTCCAGAAGCTTCTCATTACTACAGACTGTCCTTCACACAACATCCTGCAGTGTCAGGCAGTGTGTGTCCTGCAGTGCTAATGAGCGTAGTTTGGATTTGATGTCCAGTGTAAAAACTTGTTTCTGTTAACAGGACTCCTCCATCTGTGGATTAGGGTCGGGCATAATCGTATCGTGTGCAACTAATCGTCAAAAAAACATTAATCGATTATTTTTTTTGGCACTTGATGATTAATACGATTAATGCCACCATGCAGACTGACTTGTGCTCTTCTCCGCTTCCAATATGATGAACATTAAAAAACAAGTTCTGTAATTTATTTATCTATCAACACAATTTAAAATTTGAAGTATAGCCTGAAGTCTGTGATTTTGACACAATTTGAAAAAGATTTTTACGAAGAGCAAATCTTTCCCATTAAAGGGCCAATATTATGTGTTTCTCAGGCATATATTTAAATACTATACCATAATAAAG